CCTCTGACTAATCTTTGACTGAATACCAAGACAGGCGAACATGGAAACAAACCCTAGGAAACAAGGCTTAAAAATCAAAAGTTAACTGAGCAGAGATATTAGCATGTACACATTGTGGGGAGACAAACTTCTCAGATTTAATTCAGGCAAGTAATTAAACAACAGACAAACCTCAGGGAGGAAAAACAGAATCTGTGCTTAAAACAATATATTATCTAAATATCCAGAATTCAACAAGAACAACAAAAATTAGTAGACATAGAAAGAAACAGGAAAGTGTTTCTCAAGAAAAAAAAAAAAGCAGTTAACAGAAACTGTCTGAGTGTTTCCAGATGTTGGATTTAGTAGGCAAAGACTTCACAGCAGCTATTATAAATATATCTTAAAAGTTAAAGAACCCCATATTTAAAGGTTAAAAGAAACTGTGACAATAATGACTCAACACATAATCTGAACACACAAAAATTATTTTTAAAAAGAACCAAATGGAAATTCTGAAATTAAAAGTACAATAACTGGTATGAAATATTCATTAGGAGAATATTTGGTTGGCAGATTTAAAATGCAGAAAAAAGAATCAGTAAATGTAAATACAGATCAATAAAAGTTATCCAATCTGATGAACGGAGAAAAAAGATTAAAAAAAAAAGTTATCAAAGCATTAGAGACCTGTGAAACAACATCAAGGGTACCAATACACTTGTAATGGTATTCCCAGAAGAAAAGGAAAAAGAAGCAGAAAATAATTGGAGAAATAATGGCCTAAAATTTTCTAAACTTGATAAAAAGGGAAGATAATGTACAGATCCAAGAAGCTCAAGACTAAGCACTAACAAATCACATCACAGTCAAACTTTTGACAATTCTTCCCAAATTGATCTATAGATTAAATGTAATTTCTATTAAAAATCTAATGATCTTGTCTGTAGAAAATCAACAAGTTAATCCTAAAATGTGGATGAGGATGCAAAGGATCTACAGAATCAACGTAATTTTGAAAAAGAAGAACAAGTTTGAAGACATACACTACCTAATGTTCAAACTTACTATTAAGCTACAATCATTAATGATTTGATGTTTGTGTAAAATAGGCAGGGATCAATAGAACAGAACAGATAATTCAGAAAGAAGCACTTACATTTACATTCAATTGATTCTTGACAAATTACCAAGATAATTCAGTGGAGAAAGGACAGTTCTTCCAACAAATAGTGCTGAGACCACTGGATGTCTATAGGCAAAAACAGAAAAAAGAAAAAATTAGACTCTTACCTCACAACATACACAAAATAACTCAAATAGGATCCCAGAATCGTCAATTAAGAGTTCAAAGTATAAAAATTTCTGAAACAAAATACAGGGGAAAATCTTTATGATCTGGAATCAGGCAAAGAGTTTTTAGATACAACAGTATAAGCACAAATCATTATTTTAATTATTAAATTGAGCTTCATTAAAGTCAAAAATGTTTTGCTTCTAAAGACACAATTAAGTAATTGAAAAGACAAGCAATAAACTAGGGGTATTTCCAAATCATGTAGAATATATAAAGAACTCTCAACTCAAAATAAAAAGACAAAGCACTCAATTTTTTAAATGGCCAAAACAGACATCTTACCAAAGAAGATATATAAATGACTAATAAGCACGTGAAAAGATGCTCAACAACATTAAACATTAGGGAAATCCACCTTAAAACCACAATGAGAATATCGCTATACATCTACAAGAATGACAATATTCAAAAAGACAGACAATGCAAAGTGTTGGTAAGAATATGGAGAAACTGAAATCCTCATTCATTGCTGATGAGAATGTAAAATAGCATAGACATTTTGGAAAACTGCTGGGCAGTTTCTTAAAAAGTGAAATAGAAAATTACCATACAACTCAGCAATTCTACTCTTAGAAACATACCCAAAAGAAATGGAAATATATAATCACACAAAAACTTGTATAATGTTCATAGCAGTGCTAGTCATAAGAGCTAAAGACTAGAAACAACAGTAAATAGATACATAAAATATTGTATATCTATACCACAGAATATTAGTCAGCAGTAAAAAAGAACAAGATATGAATACATGGTATAATATGGATGAACCTCAAAAATGTTTTGCAAAATGAAACATGCGAGACCCCCAAAATTACATATTGTATTATTCCATTTATAGCCAATGTCCAGAAAAGGCAAATGTATTAGACACAGAAGATAGATCAGTGGTTGCTTAGGGCTTGTGGGAGGAAGAATGGGAGCAAAGACTGAAAACAGGCTCAAGAGAAATTTTGGGAATAATGGAAAAGTTCCAGAACTAAATTGTACTGATAATTGCACAACTCTATAAATCTGCTAATATTCATTTAATTATATACTTAACAATCACGAACTTTACGTTATGTAAATTACAACTCAATAATACAATAAAAATTTTGTATGAATAAATGGAACCAAAAAAAGACCACAGATAAATCTGAAGGACATAGATAGAAGGAAATAATAAAGATCCATATAGCAATCAATTAAAAAGACAAAAAATCAATGAAAAGAAACAACACAAGCAAAAGTAGCTTCTTAGAGGAAAAACATTCAAAATGAATAAACTATTGGCAAAACTGATCAGGCAAAAGAGAAATTAAACAACACTAGGAATAACAAAAGAACATAGGCACAATTGAAACAGACAAAAGGAAGACGAAGACATGCATGCAGACCAGGGAGAGTATGAGCAAAATTATACCAGAGTATTCATTGTACAGCAAGTAAATCCACTTGACTCCTCTAGGAAGAACAGTGAGATATAATGCTGTGAACATCAGTAAGAAATTATATACTTGACGGGTATCAAGTTAAAGTCAATACGGCTTGTAGGGAAAGGATTCCCTATTTAATAAATGGTGCTGGGAAAATTGGCTAGCCATAAGTAGAAAGCTGAAACTGGATCCTTTCCTTACTCCTTATACGAAAATTAATTCAAGATGGATTAGAGACTTAAATGTTAGACCTAAAACTATAAAAACCCTAGAAGAAAACCTAGGTAATACCATTCAGGACATAGGCATGGGCAAGGACTTCAGATCTAAAACACCAAAAGCAACCGCAACAAAAGCCAAAATTGACAAATGGAATCTAATTAAACTAAAGAGCTTCTGCACAGCAAAAGAAACTACCATCAAAGTGAACAGGCAACCTACAGAATGGGAGAAAATTTTTGCAATCTACTCATCTGACAAAGGGCTAATATCCAGAACCTACAAAGAACTCAAACAAATTTACAAGAAAAAAACAAACAACCCCGTCAAAAAGTGGGCAAAGGATATGAACAGACACTTCTCAAAAGAAGACATTCATCCAGCCAACAGACACATGAAAAAATGCTCATCATCACTCACCATCAGAGAAATGCAAATCAAAACCACAATGAGATACCATCTCACACCAGTTAGAATGGCAATCATTAAAAAATCAGGAAACAACAGGTGTTGGAGAGGATGTGGAGAAATAGGAGCACTTTTACACTGTTGGTGGGACTCTAAACTAGTTCAATCATTGTGGAAAACAGTGTGATGACTCCTCAAGTATCTAGAACTAGAAATACCATTTGACCCAGCCATCCCATTACTGGGTATATACCCAAAGGATTATAAGTCATGCTACTATAAAGACACATGCACACATATGTTTATTGTGGCACTATTCACAATAGCAAAGACTTGGAATCAACCCAAATGTCCATCAGTGATAGACTGGATTAAGAAAATGTGGCACATATACACCATGGAATAATATGCAGCCATAAAAAGGGATGAGTTTGTGTCCTTTGTAGGGACATGGATGCAGTTGAAAACCATCATTCTCAGCAAACTATCGCAAGAACAGAAAATCAAACACCGCATGTTCTCACTCATAGGTGGGAATTGAACAATGAGATCACTTGGACACGGGAAGGAGAACATCACACACTGGGGCCTATTGTGGGGAGGGGGGAGGGGTAAGGGATAGCATTAGGAGATATACCTAATGTAAATGATGAGTTAATGGGTGCAGCACACCAACATGGCACAAGTATACATATGTAACAAACCTGCATGTTGTGCACATGTACCCTAGAACTTAAAGTATAATAATAAAAAAACAAAAAAAATTTTTAAAATAAAGTCAATACAGGCCGGGTGCAGTAGCTCTCTCCTATAACCCCAGTACTTTGGGAGGCCGAGGTGAGTGGATCACCTAAGGTCAGTTCGAGGCCAGCCTGTCCTATCGCTACTAACAAATACATATAAAAATTAGCCGGATGTGGTGGCGCATGTTTCTCCATAATAATCCCAGCTACTTGGAGGCTGAAGCAGGAGAATCACTTGAACCTGGGAGGCGGAGGTTGCAGTGAGCTAAGATCGTGCCACTGCACTCTAGTCTGCATCACAGAGCAAGAATCCTTCTCAAAAAAATTAATTAATTAAAAGTCACTAGAAAAAAAATACAAAAGCTAAAATGTATTTAAAATATAGTAAATATGATGTCTTCAGTCTATGTACATCCCACCCATAAAATACTTCCTATAAGCAAACCAGACTCAATTATTAAATCCTAGGAAATTCCATGAGGCATTTGCCACAAATGAATTCTACGAATGGAAAGTGATGCTCAATTAGAACAACAATATGAAGCAGTGTATAGAAATTACATCCGAATTCAGGGCCCATCATGAAATGTGACTATAGAAACTCCACACTGCATATCCACCTGGATCAAGATTTTCCAAACAAGCCATTGCTTTTAAAAGAAAACCAATTCTAGTTTGTTATGCTCCCTGGATGTTAACATTCATCTATCAAAACCACCAAGTACAAGAAGAATGTCATATCAGCACTTCATTCATTATCAGCACTTCATTCATTACCATTACTCAGCAACAAGCTGAGCCAACTAAACTGAAAATCCACTCACCCCTGAGAAGCAAGATCACCTTTCAACAGCTCCATAGCTCAGTCACATCCCAGTTCGCTTGTCTGGTGGAGAGGTTAGAGCTTCAAATTGTATGGCACTGACAGTATATCCAAAACCTTTACAGACGGGGTAAATTTTCATCATTAATAGCTAAATGGTTCCATTTCTACAATTCGGCTAATATTTGTTGAGGGTGTCCTCTGTACAATGCACTTTGGCCTCTGTATTGGGGAACAAACAACCCATGATTGAGACACAGTTCTACCTTTTAGGTTGCACGGTACAAAAAAAGTCTAGTAGATAAATAAATGCTCAGATGCAAGGTAAATGGTGAGATGTCCGGCAGCTAACAAAGTTGGGTTGTGTTGAGGTGACCTGAGAAGGTTCCTGGGGAGAAGAGGAGGATTGCAATTCAAGAAATGGATCGGACAGGTGATCCATTTGATGATGGTATTCAAAGAATAGAAGACCATTTGAACAGAGGCTCAGAGGAAAGGAAGTGGGATTAGTGAATTAGGCTCGGGATTCAGAGGTGAAGAGGGAATTGAAGGGAAGGCGTGGAATATGAGAGATCTAGACACCAAGCTCAGATGAACGTTGGTCTCTAGGGAATGAAGAATCACTCAAAGGTTTCCAAGAGGAGTAGGGGAGCAGTGTGATCAGATGGTGTTTTTGGCAGATCTCTCTCCTGGCTCAGTGAGTGGGAAGGATGGGCGGGGAGGCGAGGGCTTCAGCAGGAACCCGGGCAGGTAGGAACACAAGCCAGGGCTAGAACAGTGAAGACAGAAACAAAGTGTTACCAGGACACACTTCAGCAGCAGAAACTCCTCTCCCGAGGCCCATCTCAGTCACTGCTTTCCAAAAAGTGATTCCCAAACAGTAATTTTGTCTGTTTATATCAAAATCACAACTTTGTAAGGTCTTTATTTCTTTTTGGACATACATAAAGTAATACCATCACATTTTCTCTCTCTTGTGTAGAGAATTCTCCCAACCCAGGTGTGCATATCATCCCAAAGTTAGAAGGCATCACTTGCTTTGAACAAACCCCACACTGAACAAATGAATACAGATATTTTACATGAAAGTCTTCAACAACACAATTCAAGTGCAAGACTAGAAACCCATTCTCCAAAGTTCAAAAACTGAGTTTGAACATAAGCTCCTAGGTTTCTAAAGGTAGAAAGCGGCAGGCATAAAATCTCAAAGCTCACATTTCTGATAAATTCCAAAAGCTAATGAGTGTTGAGTCCCTTACCTCTGCTTCCTCAGGTCAGCTTTCTAGAATCCTAGCATGCAGAAAGTGCTTGGGGAGCTCCCAACTTTGTCGTAAATGTGCTCGTGGCGGGAACAGCAATGCAATATAATTATAATTCAGACTTACTGGTGTGCAAAATTTATTTAAAGATTTTTATCAAAGAGCCTCACAGCACATTGAGTATCTTTGGAGCACTTCCTAATATTAGATATTTTACAATCTTTTCTGTAGATCACTCTTACAGTGAGTGACCTGGTGGAAAGGGGTCTGTCACTGCATTCCCATTTCATAAATAAGAACAGGTCTCACATCATATAATAAGGTAGATAGCAGCACTCTGCTGGAAGATTTGAGAGTAATCATCACCCTTAAACAAACACAAGCTTTATATCTCTATATTGTTATGGACTGAACTGTGTCCCCGCAAAATTCACATGCTGAAGTCCTAACACCAGTACCTCAAAATGTGGCTGTATTTGGAGACAGAGCCTTTAAAGAGGTAATTATGTCAAAAATGAGATGATTAGGGTGGGCTCTATTCCAATATGACTGGTTTCTTAAAGGAAGAGATTTGGGCATGGTGGCTTATGCCTGTAATCACAAAGCTTTGTGAGGCTGAGGCAGGAGAATCACTTGAACCCAGGAGCTCGAGGCTGCAGTGAGCCATGATTGCTACACTGGACTCCAGCCTAGGCGACAGCATGAGACCCTGTCTCAAAAAAAAAAAAAAAAAAAAAAAAAGAAGAAATTTAAACACAAACAAGTGGAGACACAGGGAGAACACAGCCATTTGGAAGCCAAAGGGAGAGGACTTAGAAGAAACCAACTCTGCAGATACCTTGATTTCAGATTTCCAGCCTCCAGACTGTGAGAAAATAAATTTCTATTGTTTGAGCCATCCAGTCTGTGGAATTTTGCTATAGCAGTCCTAGTAAATTTTTTTTTTTTTTTTGGAGTCTCGCTCTGTTGCCCAGGCTGGAGTGCAGTGGCGTGATCTCAGCATACTGCAAGCTCCAACCCCCGGGTTCATGCCATTCTCCTGCCTCAGCCTCCCAGGTAGCTGGGACTACAGGCACCTGCCACCACGCCTGGCTAATTTTTTATGTATCTTTAGTAGAGACGGGGTTTCACCGTTAGCCAGGATGGTCTCGATCTCCTGACCTCGTGATCCACCCACCTCGGCTTCCCAAAGTGCTGGGATTACAGGCATGAGCCATCGCGCTCGGCCGCAAACTTTTATATATGTCTAATATATATAAAATAAATTATTAAAATTATAATATATAAGTACATATTGTATATAATATATAACAATTATATATAATTGTATATATTACATATAATATAATATTAATATATATATAATTGTATGTTATAATTATATATAATTGTATACTGCTTTTTAAATTATATATTAGCAAACTATTTCTATATTATGTATTAGCAAAGTCATACATCTAACTAATACACATACATACCTAATTATATTATATATAATATACAGTGTGTATATATATAATTAGTGTGTGTGTGTGTATATATATATGATTTTAGTGTGTATTTCAATAGACCATACAGATATAGTTTGGTGAAATGAAAAAAAGAGCAAGAATAAGTGGTTTAATTGTTTGCCTGCTCTGTTGTGGAAGGGATCGGAATTGGAAGACCTTGGTCTGTCACCAACCAGACATGCGATCCTGGGAAAATCACTTAATCTCTCTAAGTTTCCATTTTCTTATAGGTTGACTAAGGCACTGTGAAACAAGGTGAGTATTTTTCAAACTGTGTGGAGCAGAACCCCAGGGTTTCTAGAAGATGCCCCAGGAAGTGCCTGAAACAGCAAGAGGAGTTGCACCTCTCCCTCTTTATTCCTTAGGGTTTTGCATTAAAACATAGGAATTTATCTTTAATGAGAGAGCTTGAGAAAGAAAGATACTGCCAGCTGACCTTGAAGGCTACTCTGGCCCTAATGTTTTGTATACTTCTATTAGGCAGCAGACGCATCTCTACTTGTTAGTTCTGTGTTTGTGTCATATCCAAGTAATCATAACAAAAATGCAAGTTAGCCAACTGACTAGCGTTAGAAATATTTATCATACTGTTACCCAGGGTTTCTCAACCTCATCACCATTGAAATTCTGGTCTAGTTAACTTTTTGGTGTGGAAATTATCTTATGTGTTATAGAACATTTAGTAGCAACCTGGCTCTACCTACTACATCCCAGTAACACCATCACCAGCATCCCACTCTTGCCATATTTCCCTGCCTCCAGTCCCATCCTTCAATCCATTCCCCATGTCAGAAATGTGTCTTCAACAAGGTGACTGAACCTCTCTGTGGCATGAAATCTTAACTCCTGATCCCATTTAGGGGAAATATTACTTTTATTACATATAAACTCTATTGGTATCTGGTCCTGGCCACATTTCTAACCTCAAATTTCACCACCCCTCAACACAGACCTTCCTGTACTAAAATCCTTCATGTAAAATCCTGGAAGTTCTCTGGAATGCATCATATTCTCTCAAGCCTCTCTGTTCTTTCCTCATATTCTTTCCTTTGCCTAGAAGGTCTTTCTTCTGCTAATGCCCATTCATCCTTCAAGACTGAGTTTAAACATTATCTTCTCCAACAAATTTGTGTTTTAATTCTTCTTCTTCTTTTTTTTTTTTTTTTTTTGTGTGTGTGAGATGGAGTCTGGCTCTGTCACCCAGGCTGGAGTGCAGTGGCATGACCTCTACTCACTGCAACCTCTTTCTCCTGGGTTCAAACAATTCTCCTGCCTCGGCCTCCCGAGTAGCTGGGATTACAGGCACCCACCAACACACCTGGCTCATTTTTGTATTTTTAGTAGAGATAAGGTTTCACCATGTTGACCAGGCTGGTCTCGAACTCCTGACCTCACGTGATCCACCCGCCTTGGCCTCCCAAAGTGCTGGGATTACAGGCGTGAGCCACCACATCCAGTCTCTCCAACAAATTTCATACTGCCCCATCAAGGCAGAATCAGCTGCTCCATCTTCACTACTCACTTATGGTGCTTTCCTCGGCTGCAGCTCTCATCCCAAAGCACCGTAATGATTTGTTTATCTGTCTGTGAGTGTCCCTGGTGCAAAGGCTGTGTCCTGTAGGTCCTCAATAAACATGTATTGAATGAATGAATGGTTCCATCTTCCACTGCTCAGTTTTACTCTTCAGGAAATGCATTAGTATACTGTGAAAACAATCAGGTAGAACTTAAAACACAGAATTACACTTACATTCGGCTCAAAAAAAGCATCCATGGCAAAGCCAAAATCAAAGGCACTTATTTAATTCCCACACACTGGAGAAGAGAAAAAAATGCCTTTAAAAATAAGTCTTGTGAGCACTTTCATTTTCTGCCCAAGGGAGAAAATATACTCATGAACTGGGATAGCACAGAATAAAGAAAGTGTTCATCTCTAGAATCACAGTAACATCTGCATCATGTTAAAACTTGTATCATGGATTTATAGGGATGGGCTAAACTAAACTGTTGCCACTGAGATTAATGGACCATTTTTTCTAACAATGTGCTCTCAGTACTACTAAAGCTCAAGTAATAAAACCACATGGTTGGAGCTCCACAAGGAAATTCCTACTGCAGATGGGCAGAACTGTAATCAAGTTCTGAACTGAAATAAACTTCATCATAATGTTCTGTACAATTTCTAAATGATAAAAGGGTTATTTTGTGATTAATAATAACAGATACTGTATTTTTTACCCTGGGAATGTTCGAAATAGCTATTAATGAACCCAAAGCATTTTCCATTATTATTAAATTGACTGATGTGGGTCACGAAGCAATAGATCAATGCTGAATTAATTCTGAAAGCCAACTTTTTACTGGGGATTAAGGGAAACTGCGCAATCACTGTGTACCTTATGTCATTTTCTTAAAGACAACAAAAGCAATGGAGTTTCCTACTATTCAAGTTCACCAGCCAAACCAGACCTATTAGGGTCAGTTTGGTGTGCACTGGAATCTCATAGGCAAATAGCTGCTTCTAGGATATGCTCATGATCAAAAGACACAGGAACATTTAACAATTAGCAGTCAAGTGAGTGGCAAAATAAACCATTTCAGCTTAAGTAGCTACTTCAACTAACAATGAATAACCCCCAATGCACAATGGACATGCAATCAATTGGGAGCTGGTAAATAACAAGCATGTTACTTTTTTTACATATAACATACAAGCATCAAACATTCCTGGTAAATAATATTTTGAAAACTGACAAAAGCCTCTGACTCATTTCAGCTCCATTTCCAGTATGTATTTTCTTATAATTGCAAATAGAAAAATCTCAATAATAAACTGTGTTTATCCACATTGCTATAAAGAAATACCTGAGACTGAGTAATTCATGAAGAGGTTTATTTGGCTCGTGGTTCTGCAGGCTATACAAGAAGCATGCTGCTGGCACCTGCCTCTGGTGAGGCCTCAGGAAGCTTCCACTCATGGCGGAAGGTGAAGGGGAGACAGGCACATCATATGATTAAAGGAAACAGGAGAGAGACACAATCGTTCAGAGAAAGAAAAGAAGAAAGAGCAACTCCCCCGTAACGCTTCCTTAAGGGAAAGAAAGCCTTTCCCAGAGATCTCCCAGTGGACTTACTTCTAAGTGTCATTTTCCACATTGGTTCAAGGCCCTTATTAAACCAGGCCTTAGAAAAATTAATCAGATTAGCTCAGATTTCTTTTCTGAGGCTGCACTGAGTGGTGAGGGGTCAGCTTCAATGACAACAGCAGGTAAAACGTTGCTTCCCTCTTCCGGCATCTCAATGAAGAGAGCTTGAACCCCTAGGACAGGACAGATCCACAGATAGAAGGAATTGGATCCCTAAATCACCACATGGTGCAAATGGTCCTGCTGGCCACAAACATCTACATTGGACCATTTTGTGAGCGAGAAACTTCTAGGAAATTATTAAGCTACTGAATCAACCATAGTTATCTGTTGCAGCAGCTAAGGCTAGGGTGTTTATAGAGGTTTCATTTTTTTGTTTATTTATTTTTCTTAGAGACAGGATCTCGTTCTGTTGTCCAGGCTGGAGCACAGTGGCATAGTCATAGCTCACTGTAGCCTCAAACTCCTGAGCTCAAGTAATTCTTCTGCCTCAGCCTCCTAAGTAGCTAGGACTAAAGGTGCACACCACCACACCCACCTAATTTTAAAATTTTATTTTTAGATACAGGGTTTCACTATGTCATCCAGGTTGGACTCAAACTCCCAGTCTCAAGTGATCCTCCCACCTTGGCCTCCCAAATTGCTGGATTGCAGGGATAAGCCACCACATCCAGCCTTTATGAGGATTTTTGAAACAATGCAAATTTGTTGAGAATAACTGGATTCATATTCAGGAATCCAGGTAACATAAAAGCCCTGTATGTCAATTATAGTCATTGTATCCCAAAGAACTCATACTGGGTATTGACATCTGTCTCCAGTTCTCCTCAGGAAAGAGCTTGTGAAATCCCCCGAGTGTGACCAAGCACTGGTTCCATGTCCCATGGCCATTCTGGAATATCTGACTCTCTTTTTTTTGGTTGTTTATTTTTGTTTTTGTTTTTGTTTTGAGACAGAGTCTTGCTTGTTGCCCAGGCTGGAGTGCAGTGGGGCAATCTTGGCTCACTGCAAACTCCACCTCCTGAGTTCAGGTGGTTCTCCTGCCTCAGCCTCCCGAGTAGCTGGGATTATAGGCGTGTGCCACAACCCCCAGCCAATTTTTGTATTTTTGGTAAAGATGGGGTTTCACCATGTTGGCCAGGCTGGTCTCAAACTCCTGACCTCAAGTGATCTGCCGGCCCCGGCCTTGGCCTCCCAAAGTGCTGGGATTACAGGTGTGAGCCACTGCACCCAACCTGGAATATCTGCCTCTTGATTCAAGGAGCTCCCTGTGTGCTTTGCTTGATGGCTGCAGGTTGTGTATGGATTTCTACTGAAGTGCCTGCTTGCTCTCTCTCTCTGTCTTTGTTTTTTTGTTTTGTTTTGTTTTGTTTTGTTTTTTTGGAGACAGGGTCTTGCTCTGTCACCTAGGCAGGAATAATACAATGGCATAATCATAGCTAACTGCAGCTTTGACTTCGCAGGCCCAAGTGGTCCTCCCACCTTAGCCACCCAAGTAGCTGGGACTATAAGCATGTGCCACCACACCTGGCTTAGTTTTTTAATTTTTTTCTGGAGACAGGATCTCACTGTGTTGCCCAGGCTGGTCTCAAACTCTTGGACTCAAGTGATCCGCCCTCCTCAGCCTCCCAAAGGGCTGGGATGACAGGCGTGAGCCACAGCACCTGACCTGCTTTCCTCTAGTACTCTTGCCAAATTCTGACCACAAGCCCACACGACTGCAGTTATTATCTCTCTAACCGGATGATGTAATGCGAATGCACGCTTGCTCCCTCTGTCTCATCAGCTTCTGCCCTGTGGTAACTAGTGAGGGACAGAGAGGGGAGCAGAGCTGGTGGGGACCAGGGCAGGGGATGGTTAACATCATTTTATGGAGAAGATGAGCTTCTTGCTTAAAGTTGGAAACTAAAACTGCTTCTCCAATTTTTGCAGCATTGACCGTTTAACACTATCAAGCATTCTTCCTGCAGCAGTCATTTGAGATGATTATTATTTATTCACCCAGCATTGTCTAATTTATGCTTGCATGAGAAAAAAGCATTTTTTAATATTCTACGGCATATAGAGATTAAAGTTTGTGTAAGGCCAAAATGTGGAGTTTGGAGAACACACTTCTTGAAAATCGAATTAAAGCATTCAAGGCCATTTTCCTCAGTCTTAGTGAGACAATATTCCAAAAAGAACAGGCACATAAATGATTTTTAACCTTTCAAAAGCATTGGAGTAAATGAAAATTCTTCAAAGCAAAATGAGTATGTGACTCCCGTCTCGATTGTATTCCTGTATCAAAACCAAGGGTTGGAGGGGAGTGGAAGGGGAGAGGTTTGGAATGCACCAGTTTTGATTCAATTGGTTGAGAAACGTTTTGTGAAATAAATGGAGTTTTCGGAGTTTAGGTAATGACACCAGAGAAAAAATTGAGCGCACCAAGGTTGAAGGCAGTGACGGGAGAGTAAGCTGTCCTGACCCAGGCAAAGCTCTGAAATGAAACAGAATGAATAAATGTAAAAGTTCATTTGATCTTCTCTCGTCCATTCAATCAGAAGCTTGGATTCAGAGCTAGACACAAACACCTTTTTACTGCGTCTACAAAATCTGTCTTGTGCCAAAATCCTGACTCGCACCATGATTTGCCACAAAATGTTTATCTCTCTAGCAACAAAATATAGCAACAAGATAAATGAACAAGGCACAGATTTTCTGTTAAGCTGTCATCATTCAGCTAGTTCATACTCCTCTCCTAAAGTTGAATTAGAAGACGATAGTCACCTTCATTTGTGAAAATTGAATAAGGGAAATTTAGGGGGGAAAAAAAGGCAGAGAATTTTGTTTGCTTTGGTTCCAAGAGGAACCAGGCAGAGAAAAAAATGTAATTTGTGCCAAAAACATAAGTTCTCCAGAAGAACAAACTTCACTATCTAAAGCAACTCACTCCCCCAGAAGTTTCCCTCATTTGCCATAATTATCCTGCTTAAGGACTTGAAGAGTATGTCATCATGGGATGTGAGAAAGAAGCTTGCAAGGTTTCTATTTCAACCACCTTATTTTACAGAGAAGGAACCAAAGGTCCAGAGAAAACCTGTGACTTTCCCAAGATTCAGTCAGGGATTCTGAATCGCCTGAGCCAGGCTTGTAACTCAGGGTATTCCCACTGCAGGAAACTTTGCACTCGTGGAAAGATGTTCTCCAGTCACAAAAAAATAGCCTCTTGCCATCTGTCGGACATTTCTTAAATAGTGCACTTCTAACTAGGGAAAAGAATAGGCAAGGTCATAGGCATTGGAACAAGTTGTCTGAAAGATACTTGCTTTTTCTGGATAAAGTCTTGCCCTCAGTTCACTCGTTAGGAATTTAATTAGTAAATCTACCTCTGAAAACACCATTCAGCTCTCTCAAGCAAAATAAATGCAAATGTGCACCAAGTTTCATTTTTATCTCACGAACTGAAGCATATTCTCCCAATCTGTCAGAAGAATGTATGTGCTTTGGGAGGCCGAGGTGGGAGGATAGCTTGAGCTTTCGACGTCAAAGCTCCAGTGAGCCAGGATTGCACCACTGCTCTCCAGCCTGGGAGACAGAGCAGGATCCTGTCTCAAAAAAAAAAAAAAAAAGAAAAGAAAAAGGAAAAAAAAAAAGAAAAGAAAAGAAAAAGAATTTGGGAAGTCTGATAAAGATGGAAGTAATAAACACTGGGGACTCGAAAAGTGAAGAGGGTGGGAAGGGGAAAGGGTTGAAAAATTACCTATTGGGTACAATATTCACTATTTGAGAGATGAGTTCACTAGCAGCCCAGTTCTCACCATATGCAATATACCCATGTAACAAGTATGCACACGTATCCCCGGAATCTAAAATAAAATTACATTTTAAAAACTAGATTAAAAAGAAAGAATTTGTGGCCAGGCATGGTGGCTCACATCTGAAATCCTAGCACTTTGGGAGGCCAAGGCTGATGGATCACTTGAGGTCAGGCATTCGAGACCAGCCTGGCCAACATGGTGAAACCCCGTCTCTTCTAAAAATACAAAAATTAGCTGGACGTGGTGGCACACACCTGTAATCCCAGCTACCTGCGTGGCTGAGGCACAAGAATTGTTTGAACCTATGAGGCGGAGGTTGCAGTGAGCTGAGATCATACCGCTGCACTCCAGCCTGGGTGACAGTGAGACTCAAGAAAGAAGGGAAGGGAAGGGAAGGGGAGGGGAGGGGAGGGGAGGGGAGAGGCGGGGATTTGTGAAATCTGAACCACTCCCTTCAGAGGCCATTGAGATATTGTAAATGGGACCTATCCATTAATGCCATTGTGTCTCTAATGCCATTGGTAATGTTATATGCACAAAAGCTGTGGTCCGTGGCATAAAACTGCCTTTAATTTTCTACTTCCACATAGTTATTAATCATGTAGCGTAACAACATGCAAATTAGCAATGGTGAGTGCGGGGAGGGGAAATGTGGTTAGAAATTCTGCCAAACTCATGGGGAAGGAAAAAAAAGAGGAAAAGGCTTATTTTAATAGAGTTTACATATTGGAATTAGCTGCATCTACTGAACAAATATTTATGAAAACATAATCAAGAATTTTTCAAACTTCCTGCTTCCTCTTTAACATTCACTTCCAATATTTTCATAATCAGTTTAGCATTACACTCATTTTTCTACCTTGGCTCTTGTTTTTAAACCATCTGAATTTACATAAAGCAAAAACAGATTAATATTGGCAAATTTTTATATTTGTGAGTTAAAATAACAAAAATCACTATTTTAATAAAAGCTGCAAAAGGCAGGCATTGTGTGGACTTCATTATGGAAACATTCTAAAGCAAGGCAAAGATTTACAAAAGATAATATTAGGAGCAGAATGCATCTGCCGTCTCTTTCCATTCCAGAAAGATTAATAATAGACCTGTGATAATAGAGAGACTTTAGGGTTTTGCTTGTTTTAAACACTACAATTCCTTCCCAACTGCTGTCAAAAATATACTGCTCTCTTCTTATATTCACTTCTCCACTCTACTGCTTGTCTTTTTCTCTGCACCAGCAAAAGCATATTATTATTATTAATAAGAGAAGAAGAAATTAATGGAAATTGAGAATGAAAGAGGGAAAGAAGGAAGAAGAGGGGAAACTTTAAAACTAAGGGACTCTGTATAATTAGCCTTCAACCTTCCATTTAATTTGCTCATCTATTGTAACAGTGAGTGGCCCATCATCCTAAGCAGTCACCCTAAAACAATCATTTTGTGATTGATGTATTAATAGGTGATCTCGATTGACCATGTAAATTGGGCCTAGAAACACATCTACTGAGCTAAAAAGAGTTCTGGACTTACGTACGTATGAGTCCATAAGGAATATTCAGTTCCACTTGGCAACATTAAATGGAAAAACAAAATTATTAAAAGGTCAGCAATCAGGCAAATAAACATCAGGAATTTTGACTTTCCTAGCCAACCACTTAACTTATTCCCTCCCTTCTTAAATACAGAAATTTTATGTAAAATAAACAGTCAGCTTGGCTCGGCCCTTGGAGACTTTGTTTCTTGAGGAGCACTTTGGTACCAACTACATATGAAATATTTTTTCCAATCAGAAGGTTAACAAACTGTACCTCAGGATCCTCCTTTTTCTCTACATTTAATTTTCTTCATGTTTAATTTTTACACTAATCCCATTCATTGAGTACACACATCCAGCCTTTACTCCTTCTCTCTGGGGATTATTTCTAGCCTTCCCCTTTCACTACCTATACCAGTGTTCTCCTCTCACTACCTATACCAGTGCTCTCAATCACGGTAGTTTTGCACCCCAGGAGACATTTGGCAATGTCTGGAGACACTTTTGATGGTCACAACTGTTGGTGAGGGTGCTGCTGAGATCTAAGGGATAGAGACCAGGAATGCTGCTCAATAGCCTATAATACATCCTATCCTATACTATCATATATCCTGTAATACACCCTATCCTATCATATATCACATCCTATAGTACACCCTATAATATCATATCATACCACATCCTATAATATATCCTATAATGTTGTATTATATCGTATCGATCCTATAATACATCCCATTCTATCATACCATATTACATCCTATAATACACCCTATTCTATCATATCTTATCATATCATATTGTATCCTATAATATATTTTATATCATATGATATCATATCACATCCTGTAATACATTCTATAATATCATACCTTATCACCTCCTATAATATATCCCCTAATACATGATAGCTCCACAACAGAGAATCATCTGGTCCAAAATGTCAATAGCACCAATGCTGAGAAACCTGACTCACACAGCATTGTTCATCCAGGCTTTGAGACGGGTAAATCGGATGGGAAACCCTACCTTGGCTTTCCCAGTAGCCATCCACATGCAGACTAGATCCGGATCTTCCTTTTCATCAGCTTATGGAGGGACCTTAAACCCATGAGACTGGATGACTCCTTCTGGAAAACGAGTATAGATCATAATTTTTTAAATTGTTTCAGAGGTCAAAGGACTGTGACCTGAGCTCTTCCAACATGTAGGGGCTGAAGAGGGGAGGCAGAACCAGCAAAGGAGGTAAGAAGGGGAGGTCAGACAGGCGGGAGGAGAACCAGGGCTAGGGTGTCCTGGAAGCCAGTGTTTCAGCAGAGTCAACGAAAACAATGCCCAGTAAGTCAGCAAGGCAGGGCTGGATTAGTAGCCAGTGGAGCCTGGGGTGACTTTGGTAAGAGCTGTTCTGTGAGGCAGCAGTAGCAAAAGCCTGGTTGGAAAATATTCAAGAGAGAACCAGGGAGAGAACTGGGAGGCACATAGACAACTTTGTCAACAAGAATGCCCCCTAGGTGCCCATAGCTTCTATTCCCCAAGTTCTCTTTGCTTACCCTTGGTGATACTAGAAGACACTTTCTCTCCATTGGGTATTTCAGGTGTATCTCCCATAGACAGCATCTTTGAGTTGGCCTGACACTTGAAGCAGCTCTTTCCAATTGCTGCAAAGAAAAAGGTATTTTTTTAAGTCCTGCTATGACCTCATAGTTTGGAAAATCGCTCCAGATTCAATATCAACCTTCATGCTAAATCCCCTTGCACTGGTCAAGTGGCCTCAATATCTGTCCTGTGGACTCATATCTGCACTCTGCCTCTCTGTCTTGGAACCACATTTCATGTGTACTCTCTGCCTACATTTCTGTTTTCATTTTTTATCCTAAATTTTTGTCTCTTGGATTGACCCCCAACTCCTGACTCTACAACCTGTGGGCGAATCCAACCCCATCCCTGTGCCCAGGGCAGGCTTCAAGACACCCCAGCCCAAGGCAGCATTTCAAGTTCCTTTACTTCTCATTTTAGATTAATTGTACCTGCTTTTCTCTTATTTATATCATCTTGCTTTATATTTACTTTTACAGTGTTTGCATTTGTGTGTATGTGTGTTTATAGACTAGATAGTTTGCTTTCCTTCCACAATGGTTCAGAAGGTGGTTCTGCTTTTAATTCTTATGGTGCTGATATGGTTTGGCTATGTCCCCACTCAAATCTCAACTTGAATTGTGTCTCCAGAACTCCCACGCATTGGGTAGGTAATAGAATTCTATGCAGGGGGAGGTAATAGAATCATGGGGGCCAGTCCTTCCCATGCTATTCTCATGATAGGGAATAAGGCTCACGAGATCTGATGGGTTTATCAGGGGTTTCCACTTTTGCTTCTCTCTCATTTTTCTCTTGCTGCCACTATGTAAGAAGTGCCTTGCATCTCCCGATATGGTTCTGAGGCCTCCCCAGCCATGTGGAACTGTAAGTCCAATTAACTCTCTTTTTATTCCCAGTTTCAGGTATATCTCTATCAACAACACGAAAACGAACTAATACAGATGGCAACCAAGTTTCCAAGGTCCTAAACATGTATTTAATTATCAACAGCAATGACAAAGCAATTTTTTTTCTCTTTATAGAAGATAAAAAACTTGAAACTTTTGATTCACTCATCATCAATCACAACTTTTATCAATGTCATTTGGGTGTATAAAGGTCATATTTTATGAAATGTAGACCATCTCTTTATAATATCTTTGTATGTAAAACTCTTATCAGGAATTAGCTATAATAGTTCACCTTACAGTCCTTTTCCAAAGCAAGTTCTTAATTTTCTTTTATTTCTCATTGCTCTAGAAAATGTTTTTGACTAGTGCATCTAGAAAGGTTGTGGATATTTCCTGGTTCCTGGAGGTTTTTCATTGAAATTTTTACTGCGATAACTGTAGAGTCACATGCAGTTTTAAGAAATAATACAGGCTGGGCGCAGTGGCTCATGCCGTAATCCTAGCACTTTGGGAGGCTAAGGCAGGTGGATGACCTGAGGTCAAGAGTTCACCAGCCTGGTCAACACGGCCAAATCCCATCTTTACTAAAAATACAAAAATTAGCTGGGCCTGGTGGTGGGTGCCTGTAATCCCAGCTACTCAGGAGGCTGAGGTAGGAGAATCACCTGAATTCAGGAGGCGGCGGTTGCAGTGAGCTGAGATTATGCCACTACACCCCAGCCTGGGCAACAGAACAAAAACTCTGTCTCAAAAAGAAAAAGAAAAGAAAAGAAAGAAAGAAATAATACAGAGTAATCCTGTATTATCTGTTTCCCCCAGGGGCAAGATTTTGCAAAAGTTATACCACAATATCACCACCAGAATATTTATGTTAATAGAATCCACCAGTCTTATCCAAATTTTCTTAGTTTTACTTGTACCCCTGCGTTGAGAAGATGTAAGCACATGCACACTCAATACAATTTTATCACATGTGTAGATATGTGTAGCCCCACCACAATCAAAATATTGAAAAGCTCAATCACTGCAAGGATAACTTGTGTCACCTTTTTATAATCACCAAAAGAAAAAGGTATTGTGGTTTTAATTTGCATTTCCCTGATGGCTAATCTCCCTCTACACCCTGTGTGGTAGTTAATTTGATGTGTCAGTTTGACTGGATGGCAGGCTGCTCAGCTGTCTGGTTAAACATTATTTCTGGGTGTGTCTGTGAGGGTGTTTCCAGAAGAGATGAGCATTTGAAGTAGACTAAGTAAAGCTGATTGACCTCCCCAATATAGGTGGACATCATCCAATAGGCTGAGGGCTTGAATAGCACAAAAATGTGGAGAAAGAGTTTTCCCTTGCCCTTTGCCTGAACTGGGATGGGACACTGACCTGTGGTGCTTCTGGTCCTCAGGTCTTTAGACCCAGACTGGAATCTGTGCCATTGGCTCTCAGAAGCTCAGATTTTTAGGCTGGGCCCTATGGCTCGTGTCTGTAATCCCAGCACTTTGGGAAGCCAAGATGGGTGGATCACTTGAGGTCAGGAGTTTGAGACCAGCCCGGTCAACATGGTGAAACCCCCATCTCTACAAAAATACAACAAAAAATTAGCCTGGCATCATGGTGCACGTGCCTATAATTGCAACTACTTGGGTGTTTGAGGCACAAGAATTGCTTGAACCTATGAGGCGGAGGTTGCAGTGAGCTGAGATCATACCGCTGCACTCCAGCCTGGGTGACAGTGAGACTCCATCTCAAAAAAGAAAACAAAAACAAAAACAAAAAAAAAACACAAAAAAAACGAAGCAGGACTTTTTTTTTTTTTTTTTTTTTTTTTTGAGACGGAGTGCAGTTGGGTGATCTTGGCTCACTGCAAGCTCCACCTCCCAGTTTTACACTATTCTCCTGCCTCAGCCTCCCAATTAGCTGGGACTACAGGTGCCCGCCACCACACCCGGCTAATTTTTTGTATTTTTAGTAAAGACTGGGTTTCACTGGGTTAGCCAGGACGGTCTCGATCTCCTGATCTCGTGATCTACCCGCCTCAGCCTCCCAAAGTGCTGGGATTACAGGCATGAACTACCACACCCGGCCGAAGCTAGGACTTTTAACCTACGCCAACAGCTTTCTTGGGTTTTCAGCTTGCAGAGAGTAGGGACTAATCAAGTGAGCTATTACCTTATAATAAATTTTTTTCTCTCTCTCTCTTTGGCTCTCTCTCTGTGTGTGTGTGTGTGTGTGTGTGTGTATCTCTCTCTGTCTCTCTATCTCTGTCTCTGTATCTCCGGGGCTCTCTCCTCTCTTTCTCTCTAACATTCTCTCTCTCTCTCTCTCTCTCTCTCTCTGCTCCCCCCCCTTCTTTCTCTCTGTGTGCCTCTCTCAGTCTCTCTATCCCTCTGTCTCTGTATCTCTGGGCTCTCCCCTCTCTTTCTCTCTAGCATTCTCTCTCTCTCTCTCTCGCTCTGTGTGTGTGTGTGTGTATGTGTGTGTATCTGTGTGTCTGTGTGTTTATTCTGTTTCTTTGGTGAACCCTGACTAATACACTTTGCTCCTAACCCCTGGCATCCACTAAGCTCTCCATTTCTTAAATGTATACATTTTTAAAATGTTATACAAATGGAATCTTAGAACCTTTGGAGATTGGCTTTTTTCACTCAGCATAATTCCCTGAAGACTCATCCACATTACTGAGTGCATAAATAATGTGCTCATTTTTATTGCTGATTAATATTCCACCATATGGATATAGCATGATTTGTTTAACGATTCATTTGTTGAAGGACATCAGGGCTTTTTCCAGCTTTGGGCTACTACAAATAATGCTGCTATGAACATTGGTGTACAAGTTTTTATATGAACATAAGTTTTCATTTCTGGGAGATAAATGCCCAAGAGTGCAATTGCTAGGTCACAGGTGATTATATCTTTAAGATTTTTTTTAAGAAACTGTCAAGCTGTTTTCCAAATGACTGTACCATTTGACATTCCCACCAACAATGTATGAGTAATCCAGTTTTCCCACATCTTTGCCAACATTTGACATTGTCACTATTTTTTATTTTAGCCATTCTAATAAATGTGTAGTGATGCATCATTGTGGTTTTAATTTGCATTTCCCTGATGGCTAATAATGTTGGTCATCTTTTTATGGGCTTATTTTTCTGCTGTGTATTGACTTTGGTGAAATATATTTTGCCCATTTTCTAATTGGATTGTCTTGAGTTTTTTTTACTATTGAGCTTTGAGAGTTCTCTATGTATTCTAGATACTATTCCTTTGTCAGACCTGTGGTTTGCAAATATCTTCCGTCAGCCTGCGGTTTGTCTTTTTACCCTCTTCACATAGACTTTCACAGAGTAAACATTTTTAATTTTGATGCAGCACAACATCAAATTTCCCTTGTATGGATTGTGCTTTGGTGTGGTATCTATAGGGTCTTTGCCTAGCCCTGAGTTCCAAAGACTGCCTTTGTTGTTCTCTAAAACTCTTAGAGTTTTACCTTTTACATTTAAGTGTGTGATCCATTTTGAGTTAATTTTTGCATAAAGTATAGGGTTTAGATCAAGATTTATATTTTGCCTATGATGTCCAATTGCTACTAAACCATGTGTTGGGCTATTGAGTTGCTCCATTTTACAGAGAAGTCTTTCTCTGACATCATTCATGATTCACAAGTTGTTTGTATGCACACGGCATGCATATTTCAGCTACAGCACAGTCTATAATACCGTAACAAGGTATTATGGGTTCAGACAAGGCAGAAGTCTATTTCTCGTATATGCAAAAGTCCAGAAGAAGCAATCAAGACTTGCTAGGAAACTCAGCAGCACAGAGTGACCCAGGGACCCATGGCCCTTTCATGTTCAGCCCCACCATCTCTTTGGGTACTGATCGCCTAACTGCCTAGGCTGACATCCTCACATTCCAATCTGAGGGAACAAATGAGAGCACCCACCCAAGCAGCTTCATCTTGAAGAGAATGACTTGAAGTTCCACACATCCTTTCTCTCCCATTCCACTAGCCTGCACTTAGTCATACGGCCACACCCAAGCCCCAGCAAGCCTGTGAAATGCAATCTTCAGCTGGGAGGCCATTTGCCCAGATAAAAGTTTCTGTCACTGAAAGGAAGAAGGGGAGAATGAATACTGAGAGACAGTTAACAGACTCTGCCCCA